AATTGCGCAAAAGGCGACTCATATTCACCTCCTCTGTCGCTTCTCAAAGCTTTGATTTTCTTTCCAAGTTGATTTTCAACTTCGTTTTTATAGAGATTAAACATCTCTATTGCCTCATCTTTACTTCTCATTAAGTAGAGATAACAATATCGAGTACAATCATCAATAAATGTAATGAAGTACTTCTTTCCGCCTCTTGTTTGCACATATTTCAAATCGCATACATCTGTATGTATCAATTCCAAAGGTTCAGTACTTCGTTCAATATTTTTAAACGAAGACTTAGCAAATTTCGCTTCAACGCAGACTTCACACTTGTGGTCTTTGTCTAATTTAAATTTTGGCAGTAGATTACAAGACATTAATCTTTGCATAGACTTAAGATTCACATGTCCTAATCTACCATGCCATAATCTTGACTCAATCAAGTAAGCAGAAGAAGTAGAAGCTTTATTAATATCATTTGCGGTTATATTGTTTGCCGCATTGGTGTTACAAATGGTCATTACATTCATCTTGAACATACCATTTGCTAGATAACCTCTACCCAGATACACACCATCTTTTGACACTACAACTCTCTCAGATTCAAACACTAGCTTAAAGCCTTTCTTTGACATCACAGATCCAAAGAGCAGGTTCTTGCGAATGTCTGGTACATGAAGAACCTCAGTGAGCGTCAGTTTCTTTCCAGATGTCATCTTCAAAATGACTGAACCCTTGCCTTCCACTTTGGATGCAGCAGAGTTTCCCATATAGCAGCTTTCTCCGGTGACAATGTCATAGGTGGTGAACATCCATTTGTTAGCACAAATGTGGCGGGTTGCTCCAGTGTCAATCCACCATTCTCTCGGATTATCTCCGACCATGTTCACTTCTGACACAACTGCTACGAATTCAGACTCCCCATCTTCTACTTCAGCTACATGAGCTATTCCCAATTTTCTTCTGGGCACCTTCCTTGCGATGGTAGCAGTCCTTCGATAGATGTCCAGTCTTGCCACAGACGTAGCAATTCCCCTTGAATTTCTTGGAGTTGACATTCTTATCAATCTTCCGCTTCTTAATCCCTTTGGCCTTAGTCGTCTCAACGACATTTGCCTTGGATCCAAACTGCCCATTCATTTTAAGAATAGGTTGAGACTCCTGCCGAATTCTCACACGACGATGTAAATCCTTCAAAGACATGTCCTTAGGTTTTTGTCTCAGGTCATTCTTGAAACTCGTCCAGGAGGGAGGCAATTTTTCAATCAGAGTTGCCACCTGGAACCGTTCATTTACCATGATGTCTTCTCCC